AAAAGGCGGGATCGAACCCGGGTCGATCGCGTCAAAAAGCCAACGACACATGCTTATCCACCTGCGCCACTGGAGCTGATAATTTATGGCCACATTTAACTAAATCTAAATAGACACTCCGTATTTTTTATTCCATAGTAAAGGCAATTCATACAATACATTTAAACTGAGCTACTTTAATACCATCTCCGAACTTTCTACCACGACTCTGCTGTTCTTCGGCTGGTTCTTCCTGTATACGTTGATTGACAGATGTCTCGTCCAGTCAGCGGTGAGTAATCCCAAACCAATGGCGCTGTCTCAAACTATACCTACCTCTTCCGGTTTGTCTGATTTGTCGTTGTGTTTTCTGACTTGTTATTTTGTTTTCTGAATTGTTGTTGTGCTTTCTGAATTGTTATTTTGTTTTTTAGACTTGCATTTGTGTTTGTAATGTTATTTTGTTTTCAGAATTGTGATTTGCTTTGCACTTGTCTGCCACCGTACTTCAGTCATCAGTGTCTTAAATCCGCATCCGAAACAGATTCGTTCCAGCAGGATGGAAGGATGATTGACTGGGAAATGCTGGAAGCAGAACATCTATTGCAAACTAAGGTCTGTCATTTATTCTCTCTAGTGCCACATAGTTTGTTATTGTTAATTCTTCATGGTTTATTTGACCGATAATTCAGCACTCTTCAATAATGATTTTAGTAGTTCAGGGCTTTGTCCTGCCAATGTTTGACTGATCCCACAACACTGTATTTTTACCATTGTATTTTTTCATTTTTATTTATTTAATTATTTACTCGTTGGTTCATTCATTCATATTTTTTCTTTGAATGCAGTTGTTTTTATCAGGACAAACTTAAGATTTATTTGGTAGGAAGGATCCAGAAAATTCCACAAGTATATTTAAAGGATCTTTTACGCCTGTGAAGCTGAATTAAATAAATGTAAATACAACACCAACCTGAACAGACAGCATCACAGGAATACACAGTATGTAGGTATGAGGTACAGTATGAATGTGTCTGTGTTGATCAGCTCAATAATAATCATCTGATGCTACCTTTGTGATTGATCTGTTTGTCTAAATTTGTAATATTAGCGGATGTGTTCTCTATGGAAGACCACATATTGTTAGTATATACTACATCCCACATCAAAATTGATTTGCAAGGTGATCGATGCACAATCTGTCAAGAGTGCTTCCTATCCACCTTTTCCTGAACACTGAAGTCTTGCCCGACTCATACTGGAACGATGCTTTACATTTCCGGTCTCTGGTGTTTCTAATCATATTAATATATCTCCCGAGCTGAAAATATAACATTTAAACCTATGAAGATGGTTTTAAAAAGCACATGGCGGCATAGTTTCATCACTTTACAATGTCGCAATGAGCATCTTTTGCAGTAACTCACCTGTCGTAGTTTAATGAGTGGGAGGATGACATGAAGCGACCTGCGGTTAGCTACATTGAATGAGCCCACATATCCTACATACTGATGTTGTGCACAAAGTGATAAGTGCAAACGTTATTTTAACACACTATTTTATTATTTCACATACAGTATTTTAACTGAAGCGCTTTAAGCCGTGCTCGTGTTGTTTTGTCATCGTTTATGCATGGCATACAGCTCTGGACAAGGACAGATCTGCTGGTACGCAAAACACGTACTGTATAGAAATTAAAATTCCCTACGTTTTTTTGCTGTTACTGTGGCAGCCAACAAGAGAACAGCTTAATCTGATGCACATTTTTATATTTAGACATATTGAGAAAGTTTACGTTTTATTAATTCTTTTTACCCTGTTTTAAAATGGATTTCTATGGATCACGACAGCATCCAAGCGGAAGTTATCCTTCATGGAAGCGCTCATCGGTTACTCAGGAAAAAAGTGGATACAATCTGAAAACATTTAACACAGTAAACAGTTTAAAATGGTAATGGTTGTCATTTGCACTGCTTAATTCTGCCACAAGCTGTAGCAATTATTCACCTATTCATTCAATTAAAACACACACAACATGTGACATTTTACCCACATTTCAGTCACATAATGTACAGCTTTTGTAGGCCAGGAGTGTGTTTGAAATCTGAACACATCTAATCATCAGGTATCATTGTTCGACAGCATTTTGTTGTGTTTCCATAGCACAGTGACAAAACGTTTAAATATTTGACTACTCATAATGGCTGATAAAGTAGCGTTTATGAGCGCAGCACTGTTTTGTGTACTGCGGTTCACCTGCTGGCAGAGAATGATTTCGCATTTTCAATAAGCCCGTCAGCTGTTTTTATTCAGACCAATGCGAAAATCAACCAATATTTTTCAAGCAGCGGCAAACAAACAGCTGTAAATGTGAACAGATAAGAAGCTATATTAGCCATAAGAAGCTAATATGACTTCTAAAAATCTAAACAATTATGACACTAAGATATATTTGTGTGTTTTAAATTAATATAATAATTGATACATTTGACTTATCCCTTTTACAAAAAATGGTTTAAAGGCTGACAATTGATGTTTATTCTTCTTCTTTTTTTGACTTTTTGTTTTGTCAAACCTGCATCTGAACTGTAAATCATTTCATTTTACAGTTTAATATGTTACCATAGACCAGGGGTGCCCAACCCTGCTCCTGGCGATCGACTGTCCTGCAAAGTTTAGCTCCAACTCTAATCAAAGACACCTGCCTTTAATTTTTAAGTGATCCTGAAGACCCTAATTAGTTGCTTCAGGTGTGTTTGATTAGGGTTGGAGCTGAATTTTGCAGGACAGTTGATCGCCAGGAGCAGGGTTGGGCACCCCTGCCATAGACATTGCCCTACCCTGCTCATAGTCTTCATTTGATTTGTGTAGCTCTTAAAAAAGCCGTAAATTAGTTTGAGGCTCCTTTGCCGGCGTAACTCTCGTGCAAAGTTTGCAAATTGCATGTATGATATCTGTATACTCACCTTTTTGAAATATTTCTGTGACGACTTTTTTTCTTCACTCAACTCGGTCTTTTCTTGCAAAATGATAGAAAAAGATTGTAATTTCAAGTGATAATAAAACAAAGTAATTGAATAAGTGAGTGAAAGTGCGGTACTATCGTGTATCTTACAAGCTGATGGACAGGATGATATGACTGTGAAGCACATTTGTACACATTTTGTGTTCCTTTGGTGAAGAGTATATAAAGCTCACCAGAAAACACTGCTCTGATTAAACCAAATTTAATTTCCCATCAAAAATGTTAATGTTCACTATTTGCTTCTTTCTTTATAGGCTTGGCAAAGAGAAATATGAAGTCCACCAATGAGTCCAACCAAAATCACTGGAACGCACATCTGTTTTAGTCTGTTTTAAAGTATGGTGCAGAATCTTTCCCACAATCCCATTGCTGTGGGTGAGTTGTTTTGTGCAGGCGTGTCGTCATCAAACTGGATTATGGACTCACTGTCAGATGAATCACTGGATGATACAGTGACCGCTGTGAAATCTGGACTGACTGTATCTGAAGTTTGAGGTCTGACAGGCTGTGTGTGTGTATAATAACCCATCTTCTCCAGAAAGTCCTCTAAACTCATCCTCCTGATGATCATGAGAAGGCCTCTGGAGATCCGGTAAGTGGCGTGTGGATCGTAGTTGTTTGATCGAGCGGGGTGTTGAGTCACATAAACTTCATGAAACCACTCCTCATCGAGACTGACAATGATACGGTCCGTGTTGCTGTCGTGCTCGTCAGTATATTCATCTTCTGAGATGTAATCAGGAAGTTCTTCAACTCCTGGTGAATTTAGATTGCCAACGACATAGTAAGGGAAATCTTCCTCATCAAGAAGTTTATTCCCATAGCATCTGTTATTAAAATGGTGAAAACCGAAATCTCCCTCGGCTGGGTCACATCCAGAGAGCATGTTATTGTCTTCGTCAAAAGAAATGCATTCGTTGGCAAACCAGTAGAGGAGTTTGAGTCCGTGTCTGGGCCGGGGTCGACCGAACCTAGTGTCTCTCAGCTGGGATAATTCATTTAATGTCTCCACCATGGTCCTGCACTTTCAGAAGAGAAATTAATGCATAGGTATTTATTAAAATACAAGATCTGAAGGATGTGTAGAATATTTTTGAAACGTTTCTGAGCAGAATTCAACTGAAAACAATGACAATAATCAGCATATGTGAATGGAGGCACCTTTCAACTGAACAGACGTCAAAAAGGATTTGTTTATTTTATTTGCATTTCATACAATGCCTCAGCGTTAATGGGATTGAGTTTTGTGGTTACAGATGTGGGTCATTTACGTGTTGGCGACGTTATTTAAACTGTGTGCGCAGTGTACATTTGCAATGTTTTGATATTTCATTGCATTTCACCAGTGTTTATTATTTGCTGTGTGGATCTGTTGTCAGTCATTGGGGTGATTTGGATTTGATTGGTTCAGTTTAAAATCCTGCCAGGTCCACTGCATAAGAACAGTTTGATTCTCAAACAGCCTTACAGTTGTAACCTGTAGCATTGTGTTACATGATAATGTAGAGTCAGTGATCATTACGGTGCGTTTCCACTGGCACATAGCGAGCGCAGAATTTTCAATTCATTCCTATGGAAGTTGAGCTTAAATGTTAGCGCGGTGCATTATGGGATTGAACGCGGCGTGGAGAAAGCATTGAGAGCAGCTGAGAGCGTCAAAAAGGTTGGGCATTCCTCGACCTTATGCAACTAAATATCGAGTGAAAAACGCCAGGCGACAACCAATGGCTGTGAAAAGTAGTCAAGGCAAGATTCTGACGTGTGTTTCCGAGTGTTTGCTGATTACTGAGCTGAAATCCCTTGTCGTTGAAAAAGTCATATGCTACGTTTCATTATTTTGAATTTTAGGTTGTACCTAGATGGTATATATATAAGAATAGTTCACCAAAAAATAAAAGACATCATTTTCCTGTCATCATCGTCATTCCAAACCTACATGACTTTAAGTGGATCGCAACAACACTATATTCAAATGTCCAACTACTGTAAAATCATCTGATAGATATTTTAGCTGAAAGGTTTCAGGGTATTGAATTTAGCTTAGCATCTGCTGTGTCTGAGAGTCTTACATAATCGGAATCAGAGAAAATGCTGATGACCGGTTTAACAGGTTTCTTTACAATGCTAAAATGAAAGAACCTAGTTTTAAAAGTATATTTAAAAAGCTGACGTAGGTATTATTATTGAAGCTTCTTAGAAATTTTTTTCCATTTTAATGTAGGAACAATTGGCGTAACGAGGCACACGCTCCAACATTACAGCATTCATTCATATATCAATATTCGGTAACACTTTCTGTCAAGCCCATATTTATGACACATTATAAGAGTATTCTTAAGGCATTATGATGAATGCATAATGCACTATGTATATACAGTATATATATATATATATATATATATATAATGTATAATATGTTGTTTCATCATAAATAATAATAACAACAATTATAATACATTATAAAACTTACTTATTTGTGGTTATAACTTTTATGATAACACACAATGCACACCAATGTTAAATCCACTTAATTTATAATGGATTATAAGTCTCATATCTTTACATTATTTATTTAAGATCTGTACAGTATTACTGATATTAAAATAAATATAGTTAAAAGCAAATGTGCCATATTACACATTCATCTGATCGGATATCTGATCTTATGGCTGTTTAAAAAATATTATATTTATTTATCATTATTGTTGTTGTTGTTATTTATAAGTGGTCTTTGTCTGCTTTAAGTAAAGTAACAAGTTAACAATGCCAGGATATGACACTTATAATACATTATAACCATGGGAAATACAATCCATTGTAAGTTAAGTGATCATTGTGTATTATAAATCATTATACTCCTAAAAGCTATAACCAAGTAAATATTATAATGCATTTAAAACTGTTGTTATGATTAATCATATTATAATTTTTTTTTATATAATACATTATGCATTCATTATAATGCCTTAAAAATACTCTTATAAGCTTCATAGAAAGTGTTACCCAATATTCAAGTGATTATTATTCTGCTTCTGCTTCATTCATTTTCTCTTCCTACTTCCTTGTTCGAAGTGACTAGAGCTATAGTGTCATAAATAGTCTTGTTTGAAATACCATCAATTTAAAAATGTTGGTAGCTTCCACAAACAGTAATGCAAAGTAATGTGTTTATACTATATATTTGTGAGAATATTATATATATTAAGTGAGAATAGAAAATGAGATCATACCTGTCTGAAACCCGTCATATATATCTAAACCCTGGGGTTGTTTGCTGCTGTAGAAGCACAGATACGCTGAAAGACTCGCTCACTATCTGACAAACACTGAAGCAGACACAGATGTGGGCGTGTCGTTTCTATGGAGAGTTTGTTAACGTCACGCTTTCACTGCTGCAGGTTTCCAAACTCTTCCTGAGCATGACCTGAGCTCAGTGTGTCCAATAACAGAGACATTTATAATGTGCTCCAGAAAGAGTTTGACAACTCCTGGATTGCTGGGACACAAGACAAGACATACCTGTGTGTACTTTCATGAGTCATATGATGTACTAGTGGTGTTTCACAAATGTGGGTGTGGTTTAACTTGTGGAAACTGAGAAGTGGGAGGAGCTTCTGCTCAAGACAACAGCTCAGAACTGGTGCAAAAAACATCTACAAATATGATTATTCAAGGTGAATTAGTAAATGCTGTGAAATTAAACTATGTCAAGTTCTGTTAGTAAGAATGGACGTAATCAGCAGATTTCTTTGTGTAATCAATTATCAATGTCTGTCTTTTGAACTATGATGAAATATATATATATGATACGTTTCACTTTTGTCAGCATACAGTAAATAATTTTTATAATACTAAATTATCATCATCCCTGGTACAAAAGGCTGATGAAATAATTCAATAGTGACTGGAACAGATGGAGTTGTTCATCAGATAACTCCATGTACACAGAACGGTCGTTAAAGCTAAATTAATCTCAGTTCTTCAGGAAGAGAAGCTTTACCACTTTTGAAGATGCATCTGTTTAAACTGCTTCAAATCAGCAACCTCAGATAAACTGAAGCCCTCTCTGATGCAGGAAAATATTACTTTATCAAAAGTTACCAAGACTTGGGCAGCAATTAGATTTCTTTCAAAATAGCAATGTTACAAATTAATTACGTTTTTTGCACATCTAAGTAAATGTTCACAGGGAAGGTCAAATGAGTGCAATGCCAAACCAAATATATATATGAACTGTGTATTTCATACTTGTTGGTGAATTGCTGATGCATAAAAGCATATGCATTTTCTTGGTTAAAGATTAGCTATAAACTATGAAATGTAACATTTTACCCAGAAAGGATAGTTGTAGCAAATAGAATCCACCTCTTTTTGTATGTAATGACTGCCACTGCAATCACACAAAGCTTGGTGAACTGCAGTGAGTGATCATCTAATGTTTTCTTGCAACCTTTGATGGTTGGACTGCAGAATAGTTATGTCTTATTTCATCTAAACTAATAAAGGGTCATTTTTGTCAAGTTTATTTTGTGTAAGAGTTCAAAATTTGGAAGACTTGGAAGGATATTTCACTGCATGTAAACATTCTGAATGGCAGACATTATAAATAATGTGCGGTAAATTAAGATGGAATAATGCACAGAAACAAATTTGTCTATTTATTTATTTTAAATTCGAATTCCCCGGTGGCAAATTTTCTCTGTGGCAAGACATACTTTACCCCTAATTTTGGGCAAGTTCACTTTAATGTCACTAGCACTATTTCTGTGGTCTTTTATTTTTTTGTTTTGCTTTTGCACACATTTCACCTCCAGTGACACCAGAAAACATCCACAGAACTGCAATGCACCTTGATGCTGCTGTGATCTAATATGCAAGTAATCTGTTTATATATATATATATATATTTTTTTTTTTTGTTTTTTTTTTTTGCATAGGCTTCTTTGAGTGTCACCTACTTAGTTTTGTCATTTCAGATACATCAGACAAATCAATTGGATGAGCAGTACATTAAGTTGACTGAAAAAAGGTGATTTTTTTTACAGTGTAGGTGCACTTCTTCTATTTGACCATCAGTTGACAGTAATAACCTCATACATGTTGTGTTATTGCCCAGGAAGAAATAGATGCTGTTCATATGACGTTTTGTCACTGTAGCAGGGCGTCGCTAGTAATGTGCACGAGAACCTGAAACACCAAAGACTGATCACGAAAACAATGAAATTCATGAACGACTCTACAAAGATGTTCAAATAGAGGCATCTGTGTTATAGTTATGACACAGTTCAACATTCAGCTCATAAGAAAGAAACAGAGGTCACATTAACTCTACGGACAGCGCAAGTCAGATGGGGTGCAAATGAAAGGAACCGAATGTTGTATCTTGAGACAGGCTTTAAAAATGCAAATCGACACAGCACATTCAAAATGCTACTCTGCATAGTCAAGCCATCTGCAATGAAAATTGTGTTTGTTATTTTGATTCTTACTGTAATCTGCAGACAGAGCAAAAAGACAGGATTTCTGAATTGTGTTGGTCAGCAACACCCCCAGAGTACTCAAATTATTAACCAAACTGACTAAAATGTGCATCCTTAGCTGTCATACCTGCTGTTTAATTCCAGATTTAACCGACCATCATCTAGCATCATCCATTCAAACCAGTGTCTTTCCTCTGGTTCTGTCTGTCTGTCTGTCTTCATATGTATGTCTCATTGCTGTCTGTCTCGTTTTACCTGTAAGTTCTCAAGGTACTGATTTATATATCAGATAAGGTGTGTGTTTGTTTTTAAGATTTATTCTCAGTTCCACAAATTTTCACTCTCATATATGGAGTCTCTGGCGAAAAAGGTTTCATTCATTCATGCATGCATTTATTTATTTATTTTCTGAAATGTTTCTGCTTTTACTGGTTACCATTCTGACAAAAATCACTCCCATTGTGTGAAAATGTAGAAGTGAGCTTCTGCTCAGAGGCAACAGTTCAGACGAGGAACAAGAAACAACTACATCCTCATTAT